ACTTTGCCTTCAATACAGGCTTAAATAAATATTGTGTGATTGTTTATTCACTTGGAATAGTTACCTTTCTACATTCCAAATCTGAATTTCTCTCATTTGGCTGACTTCTTAAATATCAGTTTAGGTATGAAGATTTCATCCAGGGATTATCTACTGAAAAGAAAATTGTCAGAGATTTTTGCTTAACTGGAGTGGGATTCTTTCCCCAGAAACCTCATTCAGTTGTGAATAGCAATTCTCTTTCATGAGAGTTCATTTGAGTAACTTAAATTTATGAAAATTCAAGTTTTCTTCATGGAAATTTTTGTCCTAGGCTTGAGTCTCAATTGTTGTTAACGTGCTTTCCATACTTTGGGATTTTGAAGTGTACTAATTTCTACTTGTTTTTTCTTTCTTAGCATGTCTTAAAAAAGCTCCTGGCTATTACAGAACTGCTTCAACAAAAACAAAACCAGTATTCAGTGACAAATAACATCAGGTAGCAGCCTTTGCCTTAGTATTCTGCATGGATTCAGCATGCCCAACATGGTATAATTCCCATCAGTATCACTTTCTCCTCGCTCTTGCCAAAAATAGCACACCTTTCCACATTCCCAGGGATGTGTGAACTATGCAAAACAAAACCCAAGATTCTGCTGGGGGAGAGTTGTGCCAGCAGCTTTGTAAGCTATCTGTGCAGGATATTTGCACTTTTTTTCCACATGGAATGAATCTTTAACAACCTCTGAGCCTTGGTGTACAGATCACCTTTCATAAAGTAAAATGCTGTGACTGTCTCTTGAACTTCGAAATTTTATTTTCAATACATCCAATTGCCAAAGTTTCGCTGTCTGTTGGAAAAAGAATTATGTTGTCAACTGACAAGAAAGAAAAGCCTTCTCTTTTGACAGCCGAGTATAACTGGATTGCAGATTTTTCTTACTGTAACTTCTTCCTTGTTGGGAGATGACCGTTTGACTGTTCAATCACTTTATTTGTATTTGCAGTTTCCAGAGTTTGACATTATAATAGGAACAATCTTTGTTGTATACTTTTTTTATACTGTACTGTTTTCTCTTGCCTGGATTGTGTTAAAAGAGAATGTTCAGAATGGTATTTGTCAGCTTTATTTTTTAAATGTGCCATTGATTTTGTCTGTTTGAGTAATTCTTTCATCAAAGACAGTGAATTCAGATAAATCTCAATGCTTTTGTAAAATGTTTACAACAGTAAATAATTTGAATTCAATAAATTTATTGATCATTGTTATCAGTCATGCATGCCTTCATTAAACCATTTTATAAAATATGAATTTGTTGTCTTTTATGTAAAGCCAAACCTAAGCATTATCTTTGTTTAAAACACTCAGCCATTCCGAATTTTTGTGCTGTTTTAAATTAGATAAACCACATCTATTGCTCGTTAAAAAATTCTCATTGGTTGAGAGCTGCACTTCATGAAGGGATATTTTGTTTGACTACATAGTTTTATTTATTGACAAGATTTGCTTCTGTATTTTTTTGTGTAAAATTCACAAAAATTAAGTTGAAATAAAGTGAAAGGGGTCTTGTGTCATTTGCTGTTTCTCCATTCATTTCTTGGTCTCTGCTTTTGCCTAAATATGGATACCTTAGACTTTTCATTTTCCTCTACTGTCTCTTTCTTTTGTCCATTTCAGGAGGCAAGTCAAACAATCGTCAAGGCCCCCTGGATGATGAAACTCAGTTCTCTCTTTTTACTTAGAAGTTGTTCATTAACGTATTTGAGTACCTACCCTTTGCATAGTGGTGTACCTAGATGTCATCTTGCACTCCAGACGTTTTCCAGCCTCATTAGGGAGATATCTAATTCAGATAATGGAGGCCTTGTGCTACAGTGTAAAAGCACTAGCTCACATGTCAAGATGACCATAATTCAAATCCCACATCAGACTCCTTATATGTGTGACCTTGAGCAAATTGCTTAACTTCTCTGGACTGGAGTTTATTCATTTGTGAAGGGGTTAGATTAAATAGTATGTGCACTATAGCTCTCGATCTATTATTCTATGAATTATTCTGCCATGTAACCTACATTTCTATGAGACTGTCATGATTTGCTGAAATCTGTAGGAAGAATATAGAATTCCTTTGATGAGTAACTGAAAAAAGGAAATGAGGTTAGACTAGCATTACCTGTTCATGATTAAGTTGTGTTTTATGAAGGTCTAAATGCCTTTAATGATGTGTGTGGGGGAAGAGGAGGATAAAGAATAGTAAATGTATATTTAACCTCTTCCCAAAGTGGATTTTAGAGGTGCTTTTTCAGTTCTTCCTCCTGATGGGAATGGGGATTACATATATATTGGGCCGATTTGTCAGGCAGTATTTGAGGGGAAGCTGAGCATATTAACTGAATCCCAGTATGTTTTTGAGTCCATTCAAACTGAAAGTAGGGAAAAGTGTGCCTTCTAGTCATTCAAATCACAATAAATGTTTGACCTTTCCTCTTACTTTTTTTTGTTGTTTGGCTAGGCAGTGGGGTTAAGTGACTTGCCCAGGGTCACATAGCTAGCAAGTATTATGTGTCTGAGGCCGGATTTGAATTCAGGTCCTCCTGAATCCAGGGCCAGTGCTGTATCCACTGTGCCTTATTTATTTTTTCCAGACATTGAAGGCATAGTGCTCTTCTCTCCCCTCCAAATATTCCCTGTATGCCCAATTATGTTATTAAGTAATTCACATTAAAGTAGGAGTCATTTGTATTTTAGAAGAACTTTTACACAAATGACTATTGAATCACAAATTCCAGCAGAATATATGAAGGAGCTTGTTTTGTTTCATAGATTTAGAGCTTAAAGGTACCTTGGGTCATCCAATCCAATATTCATCTCACAATGATGAAACTGAAGCTGACAGCTAAAGTAAGCTGCCCTAAGTCACACAGGAAACAAGTTACAAAACCAGCATTCAAATCTAAGTCTAGTGGTCTTACATAAACAGGCCTTTTGTTCTGTTCCTGGTTCCCTTTAGAGCAGGGGCTCTTAACCTGGGATTCCATTGACTTTTAAATATTTTTGATAATAGGCTTGTTTTCCTTTGGTCATATTTTGTGCATTTAAAAACTTTTCTGAGGAGTCCAAGGATCCATTATACAAAAATAACGTTAAGATCCCCCTTAGGGAGGCAGTTTGTTGTAATGGCCCAGTACTGTTGAAAGTCAGAGGGACCTTGGTTTGAATTTCAATTGTCACTCCCTTCCTGTGCAACAGGCCTGTGGACATCTTTCCTCGTCTGTAAAATAAATGTTGGCCTAAAATCTGTGAAACCTTCTAGTTCTAGGTAGATCATAACTATGAACATCACCTTTCTGACCCCACCCTGTAAATCTTCCAAATATTAAAATACGGAACCATTTTACAGTTGCAAACTATTTGCCATAATACCACCTTATAAAGGGACAAGGCTCACTCTTTTGACTGCTTTTGATTGCTTTTCTCCTGCACTGGATTTTCTTCATCTTTCCATTTAAGTGTAGTCATTTTTCAACATTTAGTCTGTAGCTCTCTGCTCTTCTTTGTATACTTTTGCCTTAATTTTTTTGTTGTTGATTAAACACATTTTTAAAAGTGTGGTTTTTTTTAATGATGGTAAAACTGGATAAAAGAAAGGAATAGGACTGCTGTTGGGCAAGAATATAGTTAAGCTGTTCAAATCTTACTTTGCTTGTAGTTTTGTTTTTTTTTACCAAAGGAGAATAAACTTTGAAAACTGTGGAAAGGGTAATGAAAATGGCTAATAAGAAGAGTCACCACAGAATGAAGGACAAATGTTTCTTTCCTCAAAAAAGGGTAAAATGTTGCAATCATCCAACTATAGGCCAGAGACTTAAATTCTAGAATTTTGCCAGGAATCTTAATGAGATAGTGATCATCTAGAAGAAACATGCAGTGATAAAGATTACATTCTCCTCCAATGCCAAGGATCTGCATATCTGCCTAAAATGCACCAGAAACATTTCTTCTTAGGAAGGGTATTTATCCATAAAACGGATACTACAATAACTACAGTATGAAAAAGGGGTATATAACCTGTTTGTAGAGGACAAAAATTGAAACCATGAAATACGATCCGTAAGCTAAATCTTAAATTCTTCACTGAGTTTGCAAATTAAGTAATTACCAATTTTATAACTTTTATGCTTATAAAATTGGTAAATTTTTTTTTGTTCAGTCATGTCTGACACCTTGTGACCCCATTTGGGGTTTTCTTGGCCAAGCCACTAGAGTGGTTTGCCATTTCCTTCTCCAGCTCATTTTACAGATGAGGAACTGAGACAAACAGGGCTAAGTGCCTGACAGCACATTTGAACTCAAAGATGAGTCTTCCTGACTCAGACCCAGCACTCTATCCACTGTACCACCTAGCTGCCCATACAAAAACTTGGTTTTATTAGCTACAGTAACTACTGCTAATGTCTCTACAACTCAATGGACCTTAGAGGTCATTTAGTATACTTTTTTATGTTACCGATGAGGAAACTGAGGCCCAATGGGAATTAACTGCCCTGCCTGTTAGATGAGTAATAAGTGGTAAGAATGGAATTTGAAATCAGGTCCCATGACTCCAGTTCAGCATTCAGCATCCTACTCACTGCCTCAGAGTCAGATTCTTTTATCTCAATAACTATAAACCTGAACTAAACTATATCTAAACCTAAGTAGTTAATCAATATTTTACTTGGTGATAAGATGTCAGGACAACATTTCCTTGAGATACTTGGCAGGCAGAGAGAATGGTACAGTCTTTAATGATAAGTTAGTCTTATCCTTTACTAGAATATCATTTTATTCTGAAGACAGGTTATTTCTCTTTATTTGAATATTTTTTTTGTCTTTGAGAAACAATGTATGCTAAGTAAACTACAGCTTAAGTTTAGTATTATTGAAGATAGTCAGCTTATCCATACCATGTGCTTGAATTTGGGGAGTATTTCACTTCATATAAAACCCATCTATCCCAAAAAAAGAGTCAATGAAAAAGTACCATAAATAGAAAAAGTTTAATGAAAGGGAGTTATTTCACACTTTTGATCCAAGATAAAGAAACCCTGTCTCTCAGCAGAGGTGATAAACTTTACAATAAAGAACTCAGGAGTTAACTTTAAATGTTCCAACGTAACACTTTTGGTAACACCCATAAAGTTATAAGGAATCTAGAAGATCATCATCAGTCCATTCTTCCTGAAAAGAAAAAAGAGCATATTGTGTTAAGAAACAAATATATTTGCTACAAAATTTTGAGCAAACAATGGAATTTCTGTAATCCTTCATTCTCATGCCTTCTAATTGAGAAAGTTGTCCCAACACACTAGTGAAAAATTTAAGTTCACCAATGATCTCACAACTTGAATTAAAAAGAACTTAAATGACCACCAAATCGCCTCTAAAACACCCAAGAAATGGTAATCCCACCTTTGTAGAAAGACCTCCAAAGACAGAATCCACTACTTCCTGAAGCAGTTCGTTCTTTTAATTTGCCTCTTTGCAACATGTACCTATTTAATTGTACTTCTCACCTTCTGTAAAAAGCCAAAACTATCCTTCCGCGTAATAGCCCTTCAAATAATCTAAGACAGCTAGCATATTCACCCTAAGTCTTTTCTTCAGGCTTTTAAACACTTCAACCAAACCTCATATGACAGAACTCAAGGCCACTGAACATTTTAAATAATGTCCTTAAAACTGGGTACCCAGAAGTTAGCACAACACTACTAACATGACTGAGCAGGTGGGACCATTGCCTCTTTACTCCTGGACATCATGCCTGTTTGAACATACCCTGACATCACATGGTGAGTCATTTGAACACAGAATCCATTAAGACTACTAAATCCTTTTCAGCCACACTTCCCCCATTTTATACTTACAAGAAAAAAAAAATCAACCTCACAAGTTGTAAGACAACATATGGATTCCTATTAAATTTCATGTTCAATTCCACCCAATGTTCTAGCCTGTGCCTATACCATCTTTAGGTTATCTGCAAACTGATATTTAGTCTAAACCTTAATCTAAGCCACTGATGGTTAAACAGGCACGGGGCCAAGCACAGATCCCAGAAATCAGTAAGTTCCCATCAAACCATTAAAAATGACTGGCTCCTACCATTCAACAACTTCCAAATCCACCTAAGTACAAACTCTAGGTGGTTAACCACCTTTTCCACAAGAATATCAAAAACTAGCAAATACGTTGCCAAAATCTAAATAAATTAGATCCACAAGTAACCTTGTCCACAAAGGAAATAAAAGTTGGTATAACTTGCTCTTGACAAAGCTATGCTGGAATTTTGTAGTAAACACTTCTTTTCCTAGATGGTTAACTAACCACCTTTTTAATATGCTGTAGAATTTTTGTCCAGAATCAGTCAAGACCTATGGTTTGCAAATTCTATTCTTTTCTCTTTTTTAAAAAATCGGGACATTTACCTTCTTCATTCCTGCAACATCTCCCTTGTTCATCAGTCTTTCAAAGACAACTGATAATGGCTTAATCCAGTTCTTTCAGTAGCCCCTTGATGCAGTTTATTTAAAGCAGGTTACTGGAATTCACTGAGAACAGCCAAGTGCTCTCTTTACATGATTTGTCCTTGGGTATCAATTCTCTATCAGCCATAACTGTCCTACCCTTTCCAGTTCAAAGATGATGATCTCTGAACAAATAAAATACAAGAATTGAACAGCTATTTTTGTCATTATTGTCCCATCCACTGAGTTACAGTACTATCTCTTATTTGAAGCTCCTCTTTCCCCAAGAGCTTAAAAAAAATTCAAACCCTGTTTGTTGTTTTTAGTCTTCCTAAGTAGCCTCAACTCAATCTGAGCTTTAGAACTCCTGATGCTATTTTTAAAGAATGGTGACTTTTTTTTTTTATTCTTCTTACTTTCTGTCCTTGTCTTTTAATTCTACATTGGTTGTTGAGCTGCCTGTGCATACAGAATAGTTCCCTTGAGACAACTTCCTTTTTTTCTTCCTCAGTAGAAATGACTCTTTGGGTGTTCAGAATTTCACATCTGAGAGCTTCTCATCCCTTCTGGACCTACCTCCTCTAAAGCAGGGCCTCTTAAACTTTTTCCACTCAAGACCCCTTTTAGCCTTTAGGCAGGTGAGTTCGCGTTTTGTGACCTGAGGGCATCTGCAATGCAAAAGTGGGCATGCTTGGTGTTTAGAACCAAGGCGGCAGTGAGACTGCATGATGTAAAATGGGCAAGTGTTGCCAGAAATTCACAACTCAAAATTCATTGATTTTTAGTTACTTTTTGGTCATTGTGTGTTCAGAAACCTTTTACAGTTGCCCAATTTTTTGTGACCCCATTTAGGATCATGACCCACAGTTTAAGAAGGGCTGCTCTAAACAACTTTACACTATGGGCTCCTACACACCCTTCTTCTGAATGCTAAAGAACTAAGGTCTGCTGTCTTCAAATACGGGGTGCAACTCAGAACATTTTTGGCTTTCCTCTATCACAAACTCCAAGGTGGTGGTTACTTCCTCCAAGGTTCCCATCATTTCCTCCCTCACCAATTTCCCATGGTTACTGACAATCAAATCCAGAAGAAAAGCTCTCCCTTCTTGGTTTCATCACCCTTTTGAAGGATAAAATTATCATTAAGTTAATAAATTTGTTGTTCAGTTTCTGATAAATAACTCCAGGACAAATCTATCTAACTGAAGTCCCTTCACTATTACATAACACCTCTGAGTCAGGTCTGCTAATTTTCTTCTATTTCTTCTTTTTCTCGGGTGATCTATAGTACTTGTTTTTATCTCCTCTGCTCTTTGCCCAAATGCTCTCCATATATGCTTTCTCTTAGGTTCGTAAGAAAATCCAAGAACCTCTTGACCATTAGATCAAATGGTCCCCCACTCATCCCTTTATCCTGGCATCCTGACAATGTTGATTACGCCTTCCTTCTTGGCCGTCTTACCTACTATGGCTCTTCTTCCTCCATCACTATTGCTCCTTCTCGTTTGGTGGGTCCTTAATTTTCCTCCTGCTCTATTAAATGTAGGCGTTTCCTAGGGTTCTGTCTGGGTCCTCAATGACTTTCTTCATACCCTTTCCTTAATGACTTTATCTGTTCTCAAGGCTCCAATTGCTACCTTTATGCATCTCACACTGAAATCTATCTATCTACTCCAAAACTCTCCAAAGAATTAGAGTCTCTTTTCTCCATCTACCTGTTAGGTACCTTAAATTGGCTATTTATTACCTCAAATTCAGCATGTTTAAGCTGAATTCAGCTTTTCCCCATAAAAACTTGCCTTTTGCCATAATTTTCCTATTAATGACACCATCGTCTTGCCAATTCTTCCTAAGCCCAGTCTCTCCTCTCCTCTGGCTCACATCCCATCTCACATCTAACTTCTTGATAATTAAGTCATTGTTACTCCTACTTTAGTAGTATGTCTCAAAACATGCTTCTTCCAACCCATCTGATTATAAGCTCCTTAAGAACAGTTCATCTATTACATTTACTTATCTCTGCAGGGCCAGCTTTTACTTATAGTCTCTTACATATAAGAGGTATTTAATGGTTTTAAAAATGAACTACTACAATTTATTAAGAGGCAGCTACCGGACATGGTAGATAGGATAAAGTGCTGGACCTGGAGTCAGGAAGAAGAGCATTTATATCCAGCTTCCAAAATTCGAAGTTGCTGAACAAGTGCTGATCTGCATTTGTAGGGGAATTTCCTATACTAATTAAATTATAGGTTCAGATAAAAAAGATCATCAAACTCACTGGCACACAATTTTTTGGTACTTGATCTGTGATTTCATAAGTATAATGAGCAGCATAAGTAGGCTGGCACCTGCTTTACAACTGATGGTCTTAAAAGAGTTGCCTATAACACTGCAAGAAAAGTTATGTGACTTGCCCAGTCAAATATAGGTCAGAGGAGGGACTTGAACCTTGATCTTCCTGACTCCAAGGCCAGCTCTCTAACCACTGGACCTGTCATGCTGCTTTTTACAACAACCTAACAAATACCTAACTTTACTAAACAGAAAAACAGATAGCACAGTTGGCAGTTGTGCTTAATACTAACAATTTTTAAAAAAAAAAATCAATCCTAGGCAGTTTCTTCAGATCATGTGTAACCGAGGCGAAGATCCTTACCCTGCAGTAGCATGACATGAATATATGTGAGGAGACTTAGAAGAAAAAAGTGAGGAAAAAAAATTGCTCAAAAAAAGCACATTGTGACTGAGTGATAATGAACTAAAAATGCAATACAAGACATGTTTGGGGAGACATGTTTGATGTATGAAATTCTGTTTTGTTTGCCCATGCTTATTTGTTCCAAAGACTATTTTTGTCTTCTTTTTACAGAGGTAAGGAGGAATTTGAGCAGAATTAAAAAAGGCAGTCAATGAAGCATTTTTTAAATGCAGAGAAGTGCAGAGTGTTCCCAAGAAAGGAGACAGGCAGGACAACTTTGATAGTAACATGCCAAATTTCTTATGTGCTTTTATGAAAAAGCAAATTGTACATAGTAGATTCATAGTTTCACACATAACCCACTTTTCCTGTTGTACTTTGTATATAGAAATATTCTCTCCTTTTGTTTGTTTTGAAGGGAGAGGGATGGTTGAGTTGTTCATTAAATAAAACAACATCTGAAATAAAGATGTTTAAATAAGCATACATATCTTTCCCTATTTGCTTGTAATCTGTTATTTGGGCCTTGCCCCAAACCACAAAGCATGAACAAAGTGGTATTATATAATGAGAATAACTATTTTTTAAAAAATAATATTTAAAAATATTAAATTAAATTAAAATTAAATATTAACTATTTTAAAAATACTAACCTCTTCCAGCTTAGATTTCTTTGAGATATACTCATCATCTTCATAGCCTTTCCTCTTCTTTCTAAATTAAAAGAAAAATACTCATAAATTATGTTTCAGTAAAATAACAAAATTATATATATATATATATGTATCTTATCTCAATGTGTTCTATGAGTAAAATGTACAATCTTTTCAAAAGCACAAAAAATAAGGCTTGGAGGATAAAAATGAAAAAATGTGTATTACCTATTAGGTGCTTTGGAGGAGTCAATTCAATTCCACAGCTAAGATAACTAACATAAGAGTAGCTAAGGGCAAAGTTATGTGAGCCCACTACAAAACCTATTAGGGACAGGTTCTACTCAATTCTACAAATACTTTTCTGGAGTGTTGTGCTATTTCTCCACAATCCCTTCTATTTTTTTTCCTTGTCATTAAAAAAGCAGAAGAGATAAGCTACAAATTTAAACTTCTGAGCTGAATTGAGAATTTTTAATAACTCTGGCTATAAGTACAGATGTGTGTGTGTATCCATCCCACCAATATTTTAATGTATCATGAATTTGCACCAATCCGTAACTACACAGTGGAAAGTAAAAGTCAGTCACATATAAGTGATCTGAGATAAAAGTTATCAGTTCTACCTTTCACTTCACTAATGCTTCCATCAGTAATTATCCATGTAGCAAATATTCATTACCTCTGATGTGAGCAAGAACCCAAATAATTTCAAATTAAGTGATTAAAATCCAACAAAGAACTGAAATTAGATTGAAAGCTTAATCTCTATTGTAAATTAAGAATTCCACCTAAAATACTTCAGAAATGTTAATGTCTCTGCATGTTTTATTATGACAATTTATCATTCTCAGCCCCAAACCAATCACCCACACTTACCTGGCCTTCTACAGTGACAAAGTGATGTTTGAAAAGATTTTTCATTTTGGAAAGAAGATCAAACACTGACAGCAGACTTTAAAACTCAACATCCAAATCAATGACAGGCACTCCATTATCTCCCCAATCTTTCCACAAAAGAAAATTTTGCAGAATTTCCCTCTTCACAAAACTACCTCTAGGCAGAAAAGCTAAAAGAAATAATTGCATTTTGGTACATCTCTCTCACCTTCGTTCCCAATACAGTAATGTCTGGTAGTGGCCCGTATCACAATCTCTAGTGAATATTAAAAGATTAAAGCTGACCTACAAACTATAAACATAGTTATACCCTGGCCCATGCGTTACCAATTTACAAAAAAAAAATGTAATATGTAATGTTACACTTACATAGAAAAATTTAAATGACTGATTCTAAAGTAAAGTACAACTCCAACATCGGTGTTCCTGATGAACATCCTCACAATAACTTACATATTTATATTAAGTGCAAGTTCGGCACTGTGACACTTCTCTAGTTTCTGCTTTAGGGCAGCAACTTCCTCGGGCCTTGGTGGTTCATATTTCTTTACTAAGGTTTTCATGCCTGTGGAGATACAAAAGCAGTTAAACTTAAACAGAAGAAAGCCCATTGCCAAAAGTGAGAAAAAACAAGAATAATCTTTTACAGAAAATGACTGTTTCAATAATATCTCATGCTTTCAAAACCAAAAGCTGAAATAAACTTCACATTATACTGTACCAAAATCCAGCAAATAACATTCTTACATTTATCAACCCAAATCAGGAAATGGCAACTATCATTACATATTAAGACTAAATTGTAGTTGTTTATATTATACATACACAGACATATAGATATGTACATACACTATATTTAGTATTGTTTTATAGTTCTTGCTAAATTATGGGTCCAAGCCTATCCCCTCAAAAGCATCTTTATGTAGAATCCATGCTCTTTGCCCCACTCCCCAACACTCATCTCATCTTCTGTTGACATTTCTTCAGTATGAAACTCTTGTCCCAACATATAAAAACTACTTCTGCTCCCTGTCTTTAGCCCCTGTGCTGAGCAAAGATGTTCTTTTCCAACTCTACCCAATAATCAGAGAACTACTCAAAAGACACCTGAAGGTAAATGCAATAGGTTTTTATGTTTGTCTTCTAGCCCTAGAGGTAAAGGGATACAGAGGATACAGCACAAAGATCACAAGGTTCAGGAGGGACAAGAACCAAGAGACCTAAATTCTGTCATCTCTTTGTCATTAACTAGCTGTGTGGCCTTAAGCCTGTTACTTTTCTGGATTTCAGGTTTCTAACCTGTAAATTAAGGGAAGTGGATAAAATCCACAACAAATGTATCTCTAATCTAAGGTCTCTCCTACCTTTAAAAATAATCCTAATTCCTAAGTTTTATGGTTCATGTTTTAGCATAATCTGATGCACAATAACACAATGATAAGTGCCTAATACTCTGGCGAGTCATCTCAGGTTTATGGGTTTAAATTCTATGTGGGTTAATTACTATTCTCTGTTTCACTGCCACAGACTGCACACCTCTAACTCTAGCAGGTTATTTTATAGAATGAATAAAAGAGTTAAAGGATCAATGCAAACTTATTACTACACTTGGAAAAAGAAATCAAAGCACACACTCAACTGAGAGGATGAGGCACTACTATCTTTGTGCACAGAATATAGTCCAGCAACCTAGTACAGTAATATACATTATACATAGATGACAATCTGGGGTAGAGGGTTCTTTTCCCCAAAGAAAGTAATTGGAAAAATCATTGGGAAGAATGTTCTCTACACCTTTAACTAAAGGTAGCAATTTTATCAGGAATTACATGATTTCTAAGTTTAAAAAAAATTATTAAAAAAAATATTTTAGAATAAAGGCAAATAACTCCAGCAATAACTCTGTGGGTAATCAAATTCTTCCATATTGCTAAACAGACTCTAGCTAGGGGGGAAAAAAAAAGGATTACATAAACCCCTTAAGAATTTATTGTGTGGGAGAACCCTTGGGTCTACATCCAGTTCCAGTGTTCCAGAGTCAACTATACATATCTATAGATTTAATTAGTTTATCATCCACTTACGTAACAAATAAAACATTCAATTAAGTCACTATGTGAATTCAAACATTATCTAGGATAATAATTTTGACCCAATGTAATTTCTTTTTCAAACAAACATGTTATTTCAAAGAACATACTGTATTTTCACAAGTTTCAATTTTTAAAATATATCTGGGGTGAAAATATATATATTTCAGAACAACAACATTCTGTTGCCCTCCTCTCTAAAAGGAAAATGTCAGTCTAATCATCCAAGCTCCTTTCCAATTTTACAATTCAATGATTCCTAAATCTATAGAATCAAAATCATAGTTCACTTTCAAAGTGAACCCTCTAGTGGTACAACCAAAGACTTACAACTCAACTTGACCAATCTGTATGTAAAAGCTCCAACATCAACCGAGGGTCAGTAGTAAACAAGGTACAAAAAGATTAATTGGTAACTTGATTTACATAATAAAACTGAAAATTAAATCTATAACTTAATAAGATAACATTCTCAGAGATATATGGCTTTATAGATGCCAACAATAACATACCAATATTCACTTTGAACCAATTTCAAACTCAAAAAATTTAAGGACTTTCAAAAATCCCCGTATTATATCAGGCTAATCTGGTCCAATGTCTGAGAAATTTGGAAGGACTGTTACTCAGCTCTCATGGACTGGGGCACAGACCTGACCATCACCCTCTGACCTTTATGCCTGAATTCAAAATCTCCTTGCTGATCATAATCTACTGCCTTTCTCCATCACTCTCCATCTTCAATGCTCCTAACTTTATTCTTGATCATCACTATGATCTGTCTATCCACATTCCAGCCTCCCTTTCCCAATGCTGATCCCAGAATTAGTCGAATTCTGCACTATCCCCCACCACCTGTTCCTTGGCTCCTAGTACTTTTTACCAGCTTCCCTCTAATCCAAGCTGAAGGAGGTTTTGTAAATGTTGTCAACTGGGTCCACTACAAACTTACATTATTCACTGTCCACTAGACCCATGCTACTACCAGATCAAAAATGTTCTTCAGTAGCTCCCTACTGGCTCTAAGACATCTAAGGTCTTCCACAATCTAGCTTCTATCTTCACAGCTTTATTATTCCCTTTTAGGCACTTTACATTCCAGATATACTGTTCCCTCACCTTTACATTCCATCTCCTACCACTGTGTAAATCAAACCAGTTTTTCCCCCATGTCTGAAATGCACTCCATCATCTCTACCCATTAGAACCCTTAGAAAAGCCTTTCTTGATCCTTCTCCGTATTAGTGCTTGTTCCCTCTTCAAAATATCTTGAATTATCTGTGTGTATGTTATATCCCTTTATTAGGACATATAAACTTCTTGAAGTAGAGACCATTTCTCTTTTCTTTGTATGTCTGGTGCCACATGCTAGGGCACTTAGGTGTCTGTTAACCGTTAGTTCCCCTTTGGACTTTTCTATTTCTCCAACCCACTTAGCGCATAATATTATCTATTACAGCTAATTGTCTCACCTCTACTAGACATTCCATGAGATTGTGGTCTGCTCCTTATTTCTAAACTTTCTATCTCTTCCAGGTCCTATAGCAGTCCCTAGTACACAATAAGCATTTAATAAATGTCTGCTGACTGTGAGTTTACTGAATATAAATATTTTTGAACATTCATATTCTTAAGAGCAGGAACTTACCTAGTTTAAGACCATGGATTTTCAGATGGGGAAATGGGTTTAGAGAGGGTAACTAATTTACCTAAGGTTGTAACAGTTTCTTAGGCAGCAGAACTGGGACTAGAAGCTAGGTTTGATGACTCCAGGTGGGGTCAATTACTCTTCTCCTTCCACTCACATTATCTCATATTCATCTTGAGATAACCAAAGTACCTCACACAGGTACCTGAGCATAGCAGGTCCTCAATAATGCTGGATGAATAAAGAATAAAGCTTTTTTATTTCTTATCCTTCCCCAACTGTTTTCCCAACCTGAGTCATTCTCATGGATTTAGAAGGACTCTTAGGTATGAAGAGAGGGCTCCCTCTCAAAGGAAGAGACTACTGATGGACAGGCTAACTGCTACCCTTCTAAGGACCTATTAGTGGAGGGATCAACGAACAACAGGATCTAAAATCAGACTTATTTCTTCTGAAAATCATTCTTAATGGTTTTTCCAACCTCTTTACAAATAAAAAATTTTACTAGGACAAGGAAGGGATAGAGAACTATTTGAATTCAGTGACTTCTCTGTTCCTTAACAGACTTGTTTTGCCCAGATTTCAGCAAAGCATTTCACAAAGTCATTCTTGTTACTTTTGTGGGCAAGGTAGAAAAATGTAGTCTAGATAGTAATACAATTAGGCAGATGTGGAAATCACTGAATAACCAAACCCAAATGGGTGAATGGCAGTTTGTAAGAAAATCTCAGGTGGAATGTTGCAGGGTTCTCTACCCTTGACTCTATGGTGTTTATCAGTAACTTGGCTGAAGATACATATCAATTTGTAGATGATATAAAAACCAGGAGACAGTTGATACTGTAGATGATAGAAATTTAAAAGATTTACACAGTCTAAAGCACTAGGACAAAACTAATAAAATGCCATTTTACAGAGCGTTGTAAAGGTTAACACCTACATTTCAGTTTTTTAAAAAATCAACTTCACAAGTACAGATAAGGGAAGCAACCTTCAGACAGCAGTTCTGAAAAAAGACTTGGGGGTTTCAGAGAATGGAAAGTTCAATTACCAATGAGAAGTGTGACATGGCAGTCAAAAAACTAATGAGATTTTAATATAATAAGCTCTACTTGGCCAGGGGCAGTTTCATTTTTATCTTTGTATCCCAGATATCCAGCACATTGCCTGGCACATCATAGGGCCTTGCTTATTGAATGATTATGCTTTATTGAGATAAAGTATTTAGAATGAAGAGATAGTTCTCTCTATGCTGCCCTCCTTAGACTCCCCTGGAGTATGGGTTTGATTCCAAAGGTCAAATTTTAGGAAGCATATTGTTCATTACAGAGGTCATGCCAATGTTAAGTCTGGGAAAGAGAAACATGATGGATGCCTTCAAGTATTTATCAGTGAATTTTAGAAGGGATAGCAGTAATCATCTAATTCAACTAATATCTGAGAAAGAATACCTACAATAACGTAACACCTGGTCACCTAGCTTCTGCTTAAAGGCCTCCAGTGAAGGGATGCTCACTATTTCCCAAGGCAGCTCATTCCACTCCTTGACAGCTCTGGTTTCTAGCAAATTTTTCCTGACATTGATCCTAAATCTGCCTCACTGCAATTTTCATTCATTGATCCTGGTTCTGGCCCTTGAAGCCTAACAGAACATAAGAAGGTCTTTTCAAGTACTTGAACACAGGCTATCAGATCTTCTCTTCTCCAGGCTACAGACTCCCAGCTCCTTCAACAGATACTCAAATGACCCAAAGACCTTCACCATTCTGGTTTCCCTCTCTGGAAATTCTCTAGCTTATCAATGTCTTTCCCAAATTACAGTGACATCAGGTACTGAAGATAACACTCCAGATTTGGTTTGATTAGAGTACAAAGGGCCTATCTCCTTGCTCCTGAAAGCTCAGCCTTTTATAATACAGTCCAAGACAGTGTTAATTTTGATGGCTGCCACATCACATTGTTGACTGGTAAACCCCCTCAGAGATCTTTTTCAAAAATACAGCAGAGAACATCCTGCATCGGGGTTCAAAAAACTGACTTCACAAGTATCAGACTCAACATTTATAACATTTATTAAACTTAATTTCATTAGATTCAGTCCAATGTTCTAACACGTCAAAATCTTTTTGGAGCCTTTATATAGTATGGCAGCTTGCTCTTAATGCCATCTGTAAATTAATTTAAGAGATATCTTGTGGAGGAAGAATTAAATTTACTCTGTTTGGCTCCAGATGGCAGAAATGGGAACAATGAGTTAAAGTTCCAGAGAGGCAAATTTTGATTTAATGCAATAAAACTTCCTAACAATTATAGTTATCCAAAGATGGCATAAGCTACCTTGGGGAAGTAGAAAGTTCTGTCTCCTTAGAGGGGCTCAATGTCTATTTATGTTCAGGTATATATCAACCTTGGAGGTCCCTTTGAGCTCTGAAATTTTGATTCTATGAATTTATATATATAAATTTATCTTGAACACAACTTATTCAGGTTGTTTCAACAGTATTTTCAGCATATACAATCTCTGAAGCTAATTCCATATTTATTATCTGTAATGGAAAGTGTTTCTATTTATGTGCCTTTTGTTTGCCACAAATAAATATTTTATGCCTGCATATGATAATTACAAATCTAAGTAACTTTGTAGGATATATGCATATGCCTTAAGAAAAAATGTAGTTCAGTCAAGATTAATAGAAAATACCATGTTGTAACATGTATGCCCTCAAAAAGCTTCTTTACTTACATTTCATTGTCTCTAATAACTGTGACAAACAGGTTCGATTCTCTTTTAGCATAAGACTTTCCGATAAATAACTAAAAAAAAGGGGAAAAAAATTACAAACTAATCTTTTTGTTAATAATTTGCAATTATTATTGAATAGATCATGAACCCATGAGAGGCAAAATCTTCTGTCACCTTCATCATGATGGGCAAGTATACCATTATTCTGTCCTAATTTTAATTACGCTATGATATTTGAAATATCAGAAAACTAATGTTGCTAAAGCCCCTAATCTCTGAAAGATATATAGCAACTATAAGAAATCAATTTCTGTTCTTCGCAAAACAAAAAAGATTGCAACATTTTAAAAATAACCAAAATATGAGAGCTAGAAATAAAATGCACCAGGATTATCATGGACAAAAGATTTTCTGATAATAGACTGTAATTTCATCATGGTGGGGGAAATAACTAGTATAGAAACTCTCTCCACCAATGCAGACTGGCAACTTGTATGATATCTAGTCTTAGAAAGCTATCTGGAATAAAGAGAAGTGACTTGTCCAGGGCCACGTAAACAACATTTACCAGCAGCCAGACCTGAACCAACATCTTCCTGACAGCAGGCCTAGGTCTCTATCTACTACTTTACCAAATGAATTAATATCCTATTACACAATTGTTTAAAATAATTTTTTACATTTTATAAATCTTAACAAAGGAAAAAAGTGGAATACCAAGAATATTAGGTTTTGTCCTTCCCTTTTTCCTCTTTAATATTCCTACTCATTCAGAGCATTCATTTACCCCATGAAAACTTACTATTTATATATGTGTGTGTGTAGAGATATAGAGATATATATATATCTCTATATCTCTACACATACATGCACACATACACACAAACATACATGTATATGCATGTATGCAAAACACATCATGCATGTCAGTGACCAGAGACATTGTTTTACCCTGACATTCAAGTTTAAATGTATGTTAACAATATGCAGGTAATAAAAAATACCTACATAGCATAATTTCAGAATTAATTTTGTTTTTTGCTTAGAACAGAAGGCTAATTAGAATTTCCACTGCTTTACAATTACACATCAATTGTGTGTTTTTTTTAAATTATCAAATTGTAGCTTTTAAAGATAAAAGCATAAACACAGGTAAGCAAAAAAGCCCAAGAAAAGAGACTAACAAAGAATAAATGCAGACCTAAATAATGACATGGAAGAATGAAAAAAAAATGAAGGAAGGAAAGGACCAGCATCATGAACACATGGTGGAAGATAACAGAAGAAAAAGTACAAAGGAAAGAAATGATGAAAAGTAACTAGAATGCTTCTGCTACTTAATTTACAATCCAAAAACTTTGTAAACTAAATAATATTTAAAAATTCTACTATACTTTTGTTGGGCATTAAAAAAAAAGTTTATAACAGTATTTTCCTTCCAAATTCCATATGGCACTGCGTAGCAGAACTGAACATTCAGATATTCCTCAATTTTATAAATTAATTATTTGGAATATGAAACACATTATCCTGTAGAAGCACCATAAGACCAACATCATACACCATATACCACAGCAAGTTTAAAATGTATACATGATCTAAATGTTAAAGATCACACCATAAAAAATTAAGAGAACCAAATAAAATATCTCTAACAGCTATGGCAAGGGTTCTTGACCTAAAGGTCAAAAGTAATCACAAAAGGTAAAACAGAAAATTTTGATTACTTAAAATGGAAAAGCTGCATAAACAAAATCAAAGCATCTAGAATAAAAGGAAAAGCTATTAATTGGGGGGGAAAAGCTTTTGCATCAAGTACCTTTTATAAGGACTTGAGATTAAGATATATAGGCAGCTAACACAACTATATAAGACTAAGAAACCTTCCTCAATGAATAAGCGGTCAAAGGATATGAACAGTTCTCAAAAGAATTGAAAATTATTAACAACCATATGAAATACTGATTCATATCACTGACAATAAGAGAAAGGTAAATTAAAACAACACAGAGGTTTGATGTCGCTATCCAGCAAATATGACACAAGACAGAAATAGTCAATGTTGGAAGGGCTGCAAAAGACAGGCACATTAACATACTGCTGGAGGAGCTATGAACTAGTCCAACCATCTTGCAAGGCCATTACAATTAGATGAAGGAAAGAACTAAAATGTCCATACGCATTTACCCAGAGATCCCACTGGTAGGCATATACCTGAAGGAGGTCAAAGACAGAAATAAAGGTCCCAAATATACCAAAATATTTGTAGGGGCACTTACTGTAATGGCAAAGAAATGGAAACAAAACAGATGCCCACTGATTGGGAAATGGCTAAAACATGAACATAATAGAATTTTACTATATTACCATAAGAAATGATGGATAGGAATTCAGAGCAGCATGGGGAGACATATGAACTGGTAATTGCAAAATAAGCAGAACCAGGAAAACAATATATACAATGATTATAGCAATGGCAATAGAATCTCCAAAAATTGAAAACAAAAACCATGACACTGAATGCTGTATAATTAGAATGAACGAATTTGTCCTTGAGAAAGAAATAAGAAAATGTATTTCCTCCCCTTCTTTGCCGAGGTGTGGGAATGCTAACATGGAATGCTGCAAATGTCTTGAGTGATCAGTTTTGCTCAAACTTTATCCTCAGGTTAATAATAAGGTATTAATATAACAATAATAGCCAGCATTTATAAAGTACCTACTATGTTCCAGGTATTGTGTTAGCACTTTACAATTACTATCTCTTTTCATCTTCACAATAATCCTGAGGAAATAGGTACTATTATTATCCTAATTTTACAGATAAGGAAGTAGAGCCACACAGAGATTAAGTTACTTGCCTAGGGTCATACAGTTATTAAGAGTCTAAAGCAGAATTTGAAGTCAAGTCTTCCAGACTCCAAGCCCAGAACTCTAAATCCACTGTGCCACCCAGCAGCCAGTATATAACTTACATATGGTTACCCTTCACACACGCAATGCCTCTCCTAAAACTCTAGAGTGAAACAATTCCTATATATTCCATACCACAGAGCTGTGAAAGGATAGCAATGAATTAGCTTCGATCAAAGAATATTTTTTTTAATTTTTAGAGAATTTTGGGAAAAGATTCAATCACTTGATTGTCTGTTCCACTTTAAAAAAAATTATATTATTAGATCAACCCTTAAACTCAGGGGCATGAACTGATAAACTTTAAAACAGCACTTTGAAAGCAAAACAAAAAAAAACAGGGTCTCCATCAGTGGTAATAAAATGACAAAGGGTCAGGGCAACTAGGTGGCAGGTGGCACAGTGGATAGAGCACTGGCCCTGAAGCCAGGAGGACCCGAGTTCAAATCTGGCCTCAGACACATAACACTTACTAGCTGCGTGACTCTGGGCAAGTCACTTAACCCAATGCCTAGCCAAAAAAAAAAATGACAAAGGGTATACCTAAAACATAAAATGAAATTATACCTTTCCATGTTTATTCCAGCCCTGGAGGCACTGGATAGAATGGTAGTCAGAGCAATCTGTGAAGGTGTATACAAAAGGTAAGCGTCTGTCAAAGCAATTCTATTAAGAAAGTCATCAGCTGTTTTCCTTAAAACTTCTGGGTTCTCTAGTACTGGATAACGAGTCTAAAAAGAAAAGAGCAGGGATTAAATAGTTTGTTTTAAATCATATTAAAAGAAAATACTTATTAAAGAAGCACTATTTTTGTGCTTAATAATGATAAACAATCTAATAAATTTCCCATGTAAAACTGTATGTTCTATTAGAAAATGGCAAAGAACAAATCACTAAGGTCTATAAATGTATTAGCAGTTTGCCAGCTTCCTACACTACTATTCCCTAAGGCAGAAAAAAAGACCAACATGTAATACTTGTAAAATATTTTATTTAGAACAGATGAATAATTTGAGAAATTGGCTTCTTCTGAATAGTATACTTTCAGGAGGATGTCTTCTGAAAAGTAGATGTTATGCCGGCCATTTTCCCTAATGGGATGCAAAATAATTGATCCTTTACTTCCATTTACCCTTCCCTTGTGTCACATTAAAAGGAATGAATGGGTAAAGGGCACTGAGAAGGCAGGATAATACCAAAGATCCTGACACAGCTCTCTTTGTTCTACAGCAAATGTCACCAGTTTTATACAATGGACAAGAGTATCACAGCATATAAAATACAAAAGTTCAGGTATATACAGCATTACAAGGTTTGCAAAGTACTTTATGTAAGTTCTGTCATTTGATCTTCAGAAACAACCCTATAATTATTCTCATTTTCTAGATGAGGAAAATGAGATTCAGAGAAATGATGTCATTTGCTCAGGGTCGCACAAAGAATAATTATCAGATATAGGATATGAATCTGTCTTCCTGACTCCAAGACTAGTCCTTTATCCACTCCACCAACATGGACACATGAGCACATGAATGAGACTAACTATGTTACTATCATCTTAAGGTTGGCCTCTAAGAAGGAGTGACCTGAAATTAATTTTGGGTTGATGAAGACTTGCCAATTCTCCTCAAATGCCAACAAAAAAAGACTTTTAGGAAATCTACAGATGTCGACAACTATTATGCTCAATCTATGACTCCAAAACTCCCTTTGATGTAAATATTAAAACTGGCTGACCTCAAGAGACCAGAGCACCAACAAAACTTTTTCGTATCAAAGTATCAAATTTTGCATATCAAAAATCTCTCTTAGGTTTCAAGACAGTCAGTTGAGGCCCTAAGAAGAGCTAATGCTTGATGGGTCAGACTGCCCCCAGAACCCACCAAGGTCTTTGCCAATTCCTCTGCAATAATTCAAAGATGCATTCCTGTTGAAGTTCTATTTGTAAGAGGCAAAAGGGTAATTAGCCAAATCATCATCTAGTTTATCTAGAAGTTAGAGACTGTGGTCCTTAATGTAGTTAAGTTAAGATATAGCACAGTTGTACTTTGTGATACAATACAGAGGGCTTTCTTTTAAAGGCTGTTTGTTAACTTTCCTGTATTATGACAAGGTTCTTCTAATATTTCTTAATAAATACATAAACTTAGAAGAGGTTGAAAATAGACCCACTATAAGGATTCCAAACTAAAGAGATTCTAATTTATATATAGCTCAAGTAACTCTTGATATTGATACTTATATGCTTTTAACTAAAAGATAATTTTAAATAATATCTTTTCATATTAAATGATATACCATAAACAGAACACTGTATTAGTTTACTTCTGAATTATCAGACTTACCTTTAAATCAATGAGAAAACCCTCAAATGGCCGGTAAGGATTGTGGACAATAAGGTGGAAATTAAGCTGCTGAATAAGTAAGAGTTCATATTCCAAAATTTGTTCAAGTGCCTTTTCCTGTCCGAGAGGGCTCTCCCGAAGATTTCCAACAAACTGTATGCTGGACACATTAAATTCATCTACTTTGCATGCCAAAAATGCACAAGTGAGCCTACAAGAAAAAGCAATTCCATACATTTAAACTTTTAAAAATATGGTAGGTTGGAAAATTCAATGAGTGAGTTTTACATTAAAAAAACTTTCCCTAAATTAAAATAATCAACTAGACAAATAAAGAATTTAAAAGTACTATGTTTATTACTTACATTATTATCCGAGGGTGATATTCCATCACTGAGTTATTGAGGTAAAAACGTTTGAAGTACATACATGCTGTACCCTAAGTTAAAGAAAATATTTGTTATAGTCATGCAACTAAGTTTTAATAAAACATCACAAATTAGTTAAGGTTTTGATCAGTACAAATGGAATTATTTGGAATGCAGGCAGTGCCACAACAACAAAAATTTCTGAATAACCAAAAGATCCCATAGCCAATGAATGGCTCTTTTAAAAATATATAGTCCAAACAATCCATGAATTTAAATAGTTCACAACCTTCCTCTTATTCTAATTTACTTATTTTATTATTATTATTTTATTATATATTAATATATTTTTGTATTTTTATTAGTTATTATTTTAATTAATTTATTTTAATGAGATGGCTCAGTGGCTGGGCCTAGAGTCAGCAAGACCTGAGTTCAAATCTGACCTCAGATACTTACTAGCTGTGTGACCCAGGGCAAGTCACTTAACCTCTGTTTGCCAAGAAAGCCTGATGGATAGTATTGGTGTGCTATAATCTATGGGGTCACAAAGAATTGAACACAACTGAATTAATCAACAACATCATCACTCCCAACTCCCCACATGTATAACAGAGAGTAATCCAGGAATAAGTTAAATCATCATAAAATCTAAAAATATATTTATTTTTGTTTGCTTGTCTATCACTCTTTAGTAAATACTAACTGAACAATATTCACACGTCAGCTCATCTGCTACAGTCATTTTATAGTTATAAGGGGGAAAAAAACCCCTCTGAACCCAAGGCATACTATTAAGATGAACTTTTCATTGGTATTCATTCAAAACTAATGGGATCAAATGAGATAATGTACATAAAATGCTTCACAAACCTGAAAACAGCACGTCAACCATCATCATTCTCATCCTCAATAATAACAGAAGTTACCATAAAGGCAACATGAAAAGCTCCAAAATGGAAGATCCTTCTTAAAGACAAAATTAATAGTAATGACGTTGAAGCCGTAGAGTCAAATTTAAGCTGGATATAAGGAAAACTACCTAATGATCATAGCTATACAAAACTAGAATGAGCTATAAATGAAGAGGTATTGGGCTCATTGATGATTGGAAGCCTTCAAATAAGGGCTGGATGACCACCTGTTAAAGATGTTGTTGAGAGGCTTATTTTTCAAGTACTAGATAGATTTTGAGATACTATTCAATTCAAATTCTGTAATTTACTAAATTGAAAAATTCTAGTTATATACTTGAAAGATCATGTGCTGTCATTCCCACTTTTCCAAAATCTTATGTTGTAGTAGGATGCTAGTTTTGGTATCAGGTTGTCATCAAATCTAAAAATATGGCAAATCTCTCTTCAAGTCCTTACTATCTGAGGAATTCACAATCCCTCAACAAGATTATGCATGTATCATGCTTCTACCTGACTTACATGCAGACAGAGTAATGAGAAGAGTACATATGGATAGTATATTAGCAAAACATTTACTGCTTTCAAGGAAAAAGAGACATCTAGATCTCAGGATATCTAAAAAGTCTGCCACAAACTTCTTTGAATCAGAACTTGTGAATACTTTTATTTAGTATGTTCTGAAGAAATAGCACATTATTTGTAAAAGAGATAAAATAATATGCATGCTGTCTTTTTCAGTGGGCTTCATGGTTTCAATGTGCCTAAGTTTATCCATCTGAAGGGCATTTTATATTCTATTAGATTCAACTTATTAGACTAGTCATTGTTCAGAAGTATTTAGGAGCTCTTAACTGATAAGGACAAATATATCAATCAATCAACAAACAGGAATCAATCACCTACTACATGCTAAACACTGTGTCAGGTAATGAAGAAAAAGTTGAAAAACAAAAGTTTCTGTTTTCAAAGAGCTTATATTCTATAAGGGAGAATACAAGATATAAAAAATAAAAACAATGTAATTCAAAAAAATTTTTCATGGGGAGAAGGGCAGGAAGAAGCCATGGTCTGAAGGTCCTTGTTATAGGAAGGGATGACATCACCAGGTTGGGTTGTAAATAGACAGGGGCTGGTTTCCACACAAAAAAGTATCACAGGATTACAGCTTTCAAAGATTAATGAGAAACATGGTTTGGGTCAGGAAAAAACTTCTGATACTGAGAGAAAAAGAAGAATTCAGGTTTCATGAAGAGTTCAAAGTCAATGTATGGTACCTATAACCTTGTCTTTTATGGCTGAGCACAAGAATGACATCAACACTGATTATATACATATGTGGAAATGATATTTTGTATAAATATTGAGCAAAGAATATAATATTGATTTAGAAAATACTGAGTTGGGATAGTTCAGAGTTTAGAAGTTATCTGATTTGACCTAAACTTGGTTTTAAGCATTATTCTTTACCCACCCTGCTCATAACTTACCACCACAGACCTTGGCATTGTAGGCTTAAATATGGAGCAGAAATCTAATAGTCTTTTCTCATAATATTTGCAGATTACCAATTCTTCATGAGGTTCAAGAAAGACTGGATCATTTGCCAGAACCTTCAAGAAAAAAGTTAATCAGTCAATTAAAGCATCCAGCATTCTTTTCCCCAAGATCAACATCAAACTGCACACATCCCAATGAAATAGCAGCACAATGCCTAACCCATGTCTCTTTACAACAAATACTAATTTCTCTAGTAAGCAGGAAGAGAATGTATAGTGCAAAGTACAGTATAGTGGAAAGAGCACTAGATATGGAGTCATAGGATAAGACAGGATTAGAGCTACAAAGGACCTTAAGAAGCCAGTGAATTGTCTATTATAAATACTCAAATTAGCAATAAAGGACATATGAAGACGCTATCTGCATCCAAAGTAAGAAATGATAAACAGAAGTATGTATAGAATAATACATATATATATATAATATATATATATATATATATATATATATATATATATAATTGTGTCTAATGGTAACCATCTCTAGGGTGCGGGGAAAAAGGGAAAAAAATATAAAGGAGAATTTTGTTGTATATTTGAAAGGAGCAGCAAGTCGTACATAGTAGATTTGTAGTTTCACCTATCATCATCTTTTATTGTACTACATTATGGAAATACTTATTTTATTCCATAAATTAAAAATAAAATTAAAAAAAAACACTGAATCCAAACTCCTCATTTTATACCAGTGTGTAATGCAGGATTTTAACCTAGGTCTTCCTGTCTAGTGTCCTAACCACTACACTCATCAGCTTCAATGCGTATCTACAGAGAACATGAACAGATCTACATATCCAGTCCCAAGGTTTTAGTTCAGCTCCAGATCTGAATGACGTGCCCACATTTTGAATTAGATGTCTTATAGTTTCCTCAAACACAATATGTCCAAAACCTACAGGCATCTTCCAAACTTTCAAGTTCTACAAAGGGCCCTATCATCCTTTCAGTCAACCATGTTCACAACCTCGATGTTATCCTTAAGTCCTTTATCTCACTTACCCAATCGATTTGGTAACACTTGTCATAGGTAATGAGGGCCTAAACTAAGGTGGTAGTTGTGTGAGTAGACAGAAGGGGTTGGATGGCATCAAGCTTTGGCAACTGCTTAGATACTTGGGGTAAAGGAAAGTGAGGAGTCAAGGATAAAGCTGACATTACAAACCTGGGGGACAGCAAGGATAGTTGTGTCTTTCAGAGAAAACTGGGAAGTTTGGAAGAAGGAAGGATATGTAGAGATGATGAGTTCAGTTTTAGACATGTTTGAGATGTCACCAGGAAATCCTGCTTGAAATGGTCCTAAGCAATTGGTGATTAAAGTCTGGAGGTGGGGGAGGGGGATCAAGAAGAGACTATCCAGGAGGAGAGGGCTGTTAACAATGCCAGATACAGTAGACAGGGTGAGGAACAGGACTAAGAAAAGACCACATCAGATTTGGCAATTATAAAATCATTAGCAATTCTGGAGGGAGAAGTTTCAGCTGAGTGATGAAGTTTGAAGCCAGATTACAAAGGGCTCAGAAGTGTGGAAACAATGAATGCAGATACCTTTTTCAAGGAGCTTGGCTGAAAACGAAGGATTCGAGACAATAGCATGAGGTGCTGGTAGGATCTAGTAATTTTTTAAAAGAGGTCTATTTGAAAGCTGTAGATAAGGAGAGACTGAAGAAGGGGAAGGGGATTAAGGATGACTGAGGATGCCAATGTGCTGAAGGGAATGGGATCAATGACACACATATTAGAAAGGCTGGCTTTGGCAAGGCAAAAAGCCACCTCTTTGTCAGAGACTAGGGGAAAGGAGGATAGAGTGGGAGATTCTAGAGCAGAAGACAAGGTGGAGTTAAAAAAGCTACTACTGGTTGTCAGTGAGGGGTAATGGCCTGAGAAAATACTGAGGGACTGGAGAGCTTAATGAAGGCAAATAATAGATTTTGAATGGGTGAGGCTTACGAAAAGTAGAAGGATAGTTAATTATAGTCAGAGAGGGGGAAGAGTTTCCAATTAGTGAAGTGGAATACTTTTGAGTAACGGTGAAATATAGTGACATTCTTTATATGCATTTGACAAGAAGGGAAGGAGATACTAGGATTTAATTTACTACACCTTACACCACACCAAGACTTCACAGTCCAGCCATACCGGTCATCCTCTTGCTGTTTCTTACACATATTTCATCTCTGTGCCTTTACACTGGCTGTTGTTCCATGCCTGGAAGGCTTTTCCTTCTCACCTCTGTATCCTGAATCCTCTTAAAGACTCAGCTCAAGCTCCTATGCACTTTCCCCTCAAAATTACCTGTTATTTTTAGTACCTGCCTATATATCCATCTGCTGTCTTCCCTGGTGGGATGTCAGCTACTTGAATGTGGGGACTGTTTCAACAGTTTTTGTATCTCCAACACCTAGCATCTTCACCAGTTGGTAGGTCACAAGGTAAGCATTTCTTGGCTGTGGCAGCCCAAGATCTACTTCTATGTAAGAAAAACACTACACAATTCCACAACCTTTAGCCTCAATTTCGAGTGTCAATTTCGAGTCCGAGTTCTTCTAGTATAGAACTGACCCACTACCAATGTAAAAGGCACAACCATTAATTAAAAAAAAAAACAAACCCAACCCTTCACAAATAAAGACTGCCCCTGAACCTTGGATTTGAGTCTAGCTCTGTGATCCGAGGCAAGTCACTTAACCTCTCACGGCCTCGGTTCCTATTTGGTAAAGACTGGGGCTGTGGCTTGTCTAAGTTGCTTCCCGGCTCTTAGGTCTCCAAAAATAACAAGTCAGCCTATATTTCTACAGCGCCTTAAGGTTCGCAAAGTGTACAGATGGCTTATTTGATCCTCATACCAGCCCTGGGAAAGAAAGATAGTGTTATCTTCACTTTACAAACGGGGAAACCGAGGCAGACAAGCGGTAAAGGACTCGCCCAAGGTCACTCAGTCGGCTGAGGTTCTGGGGCTCGGTGTGAGCTCAGGTCTTCGCGACTCCAGGCGCGTGCGGCGGGCCTCGGGCTCCCAACACCGGACGAGGCCGATGACCCGAGGGGTCGCGGTGCCGGGGCGCGCACTAACCTTCCCGTTTGCCACCACTTTGCACTTGAACTTGCGGTTGGCGTCGGCCCGGAGGCGCCCCAGCTGCTCCTCGCTGGAGAACGTCCAGTGCCGCTTCTGGCTGCTGTTGTGATACATCCTGGGCAGCAGCGAGGGTGAGGGAGCCGACAGGGCCGGGCAGCGACCCCGAAAAGCCGGAGACAACGGGCAGGGAACCGCGTAGCCCAGCTCTGCCCCCACCGCGCGCAGAGAAGTGAGGCCAGCCCTCGCGAGACCCGACACTGAAGCTGGCCCCGCCCCGCCTCGCCTTGCCGGCTGACGTGCTGACGTCACGCCGCTGCCGCTTTGTCGTCGGGTGTTGGAGTCAGGTCGACTTTATCGTTTCCCTTATCGCCAATGGCTAACTCTTCCCGTGCAGGTAGTGGGAGGGCATGTCTGTGGCGTCATACGCCGACTTGTGGCCGCAGCGCGGCGACGCATCCGCGCCGCCTCCTCGTAGTGCGCGCGTGCCGTCTCCTCGCCTTCCACTCTCCCCTTTTCCTTCTCCTCCCCAGCTTTCAAATTCGATGTGAAAGGTGGTACCCCCGGGCTAAGCACCAAGTAGGGAGAATTTAGGGTGACAGTGAGCCTTTTAGTTGAGGAAGGGAATTTAGGGTGTCAGTGACTTATTTCGATGGAGAAGAGGAATGCCCTCCCCCCCCCAGTCCCTCTGGGCAAGAAATTTTACTGTACATATCATACTGTACATACTGTACAATCAGCAAACATTATTAAGTGTTACTATTAAGGGTTGAACAAGATGACTGGAGACAGAAAAAGCTGGAATTAATTGTGCATAACATTGAAATGGACGTGCTTTCCCTGCCCTTGGAGGAATTGGAACCAGCCAGATGAGGTCTAAAGGCCGGGATTAAAGTCAAGACACCTGGGTTCCTCTGTGCCCATTTCCAGATGTGTGGGTGACCTTGTCACCTGATGTCTCTAGGTCTGTTTACTGAAAACTAAGGGAATCTACTTAGATGATCTTTAAGGACTATGAGTTGCTGATTGCATATATTAATAGCTGCCCTGAAAGCTGTTTTTCTTTGCAATGTTGATGTTATTGTATAATTATTCTGTTCATGCTCACTTTGTGTCTCTTTAGACAAAGTGGGGCTGGTTCTATCTAATGCTGATCTGTTAGGTCAGAAAATGGAATGAAATGAGTCATTCTTGGTCCATTCAACAGTTAATAAAAAGAGGTGTGCTTAACTACATCAGGGAAAGGAAGCAGCAGGAAAAGGCATGTTCACTCTGGATATAGCTTTGATTCAGCTGAGTGACTTTGCTGTTGGTCATCCTGCTAATACACACAAGGCATCAGAGGCCTAAAGATGACTATCAGCTGATGTCTTTGCAGTTTGTACTCAGTCAACTAGGAAGCCATTCAGGCAATTAACTCTCAAGGGTAGTTTTGATACCTCTCAAAGAAAAACTAACCTAACTTGCTGGGGAGGGTGAGAAATAAGGGGGATTTAGGATATTGTTCCCATCACATCTGATGTTTGTGAACTAAGCTCTTTTGTCATTTCTTACCGGGAAGTAATGTAGATCAGTCCTTGTATTCATGAGAACTCTTTAGACTTTCAAAGTTGTTCATCTTTATTGTGTTGTGCTTATTTTTTTAAATTGTTCTCCTGTATTCACTTTATTTTATACCAGTTGATATGAATCTCCCCAGTATAAGATATGTGTGTGTGCTATCTTTTAAAAATATATGTGTGTATGTATATATGGGTCACAGATGGCATGGGGAGATATGATCTGGGATCTCTGCCCATTTTTGTGGAGAATAAGAGGAGAGTCATGCAGGCACCATCAGGAGAATAGCAGTGAGCAAAGGACAGGCAGGATCCAGGAATACCATGGCAGAGAAATCTTTCCTGTCTCTAAGAGGGGTATTGGGCTGGAATGATATCTTTTATCACACCTTAGCTATCTCTAGAGTTCTAAGCATATGAGTGTGGGTTCAGAATGAAAGCCACTTTTCCTGATTACTCTCAAGGGGTAGCCCTTGGTTTATGCTATGGAGCTTAGTCCCTTCCCTCCAAATACTGGTTTCACAAAGATCATTATCAAATGAATCAGAGAAATTAGACAACTTAGAATATGCCAAAGAATACACAAGAGTAAATACATTCTTTAGCTGACAATGAGATGAGAGCTCAGCTGAAGCCAGGAAAGAGAATTATCTTATTGGGGATGAAGCAGGGCAGCTGGTGGTAAAGTGGATTCCACTCAGCATTCTCTAGGACTGCAAATATGGGAAGTCTTGGGAAATGATGAGGAGATGACTTTCCTTATATGTTTGTGGTTCTGGAGAGGTTCCCAAAATGGGTGATACCACCATCTGGGAGGCACTGGAATGATCCGGGGGGGTGGTAGTGGCATTGGGTACAATTGGAGGGTGTTGAAAGAAATAAGGGAGCAGTGGGAGCATAAGGAAAGAGGAGAAGAAAATTTTGAAAAATCGTTCTTACATGTTTTATCCGTTGTGTAATAGAGTTAAAGTCATAGTGATTACATTATTTTTCCAAATGAACACAGAAAATGCAAGTTATAACCAATCAATGGTCAAATCTGATGGGAGGTCTTAACAAGCAAGTGTTGGCAAGCAAGCATGTCGCACATTGTCTGGAAGTCCAGCATACATCAGCAGGAATATGTGCATGTAATGACTTGTTTACAATATGATACTACGTGGTTATATGAAGCGAAGTTGCCTCATTAAAATTTCAATGTGGGAAAAAATTCACAAATTTATAATAAATTATTATATTTAAGTGTATCATTTTTAAAAAATATATTTTACATTTTTTTGAAATGACACAATTTTTTTAAAAAAACATTAAAGGGTTAAAGAAAATAGATTTCTGGGGGGCACTGAGTAATTTTTTAAAAAGGGGGTTGGTAGGCCAAATAAGTTTGGGAACCTCTATTCTAGGGTCCTACTTTGCCATCTCTCTTAAAGTTTGCATGTGATAATATGCTTTCTCATCAATTTTTGTCAAATTGTGACTTTTTCCCCCACTTAATAGTATTTTATTTTTTCCAATTACATGTAAAGATAGTTTTCAACATTCACTTTTGTTAGATTGTGAGTTCCAAATTTTTCTCCCTCCCTCCCCTTCCTAAGACAGCAAGCAATCTGATACATCTGATATATATATACATGTACAATCACGTTTAACATTTCCACATTAGTCATGTTGTGAAAGAAGAATCATAACAAAAGGAGAAAACCACAAGAAAGGAAAAAAAAAGTGGAAATAATATGCTTCTATCTGCATTTAGACTCTACAGTTCTTACTCTGGATGTGGATAGCTTTTTCCATCATGGGTCTTTTGGAATTGTCTTTGCTCATTGTATTGCTGAGAAGAGCTAAGTCTATCATATTGTTCATTGAGCAATGTGGCTGTTACTATGTATAGGGTTTTCCTGGTTCTGCTTACTTTACTCAACATCAGTCTTTCCAAGTTTTTCTGAAATCTGCCTGCTCATCATTTCTTATAGAACAATAGTATTCCATTACATTCATATACCACAGCTTGTTTGGTCATTCCCCAATTGATGGGCATCCCTTCAATTTACAATTCTTTGCCACCACAAAAAGAACTGCTATAAATATTTTTGTACATGTGGGTCCTTTTCCATTTTTTACCATCTCTTTAGAATACAGACCTAGTAGTAGTATTACTAGATCAAGGGGTCTGCACAGTTTTATAGCTCTTTGGGCATAGTTCTAAATTGCTCTCCAGAATGGTTGGATTAGTTCACAGTTCCACCAACACTGCATTAATGTTCCAATTTTCCCACATTTTCTGCAAAATTTGTCATTTCCCTTTTCTGTCATATTAGCCAATCTGATAGGTTACCTCAGAGTTGTTTTGAATTTGCATTACTCTAATCAATAGTGATTTAGAGCATTTTTTATATGACTATAGATAACTGGTTTCTTCATCTGAAAATTGGCTGTTCATATCCTTTGATCATTTATCAGTTGGGGAATGATTTGTATTCTTAAAAATTTCAATCAGTTCTCTATATATTTTAGAAATGATACTTTTATTAGAAACACTGGCTGTAAAAATTATTTCCCAGCTTTTTGCTTTCCTTCTAATCTTGGTTGCATTGGTTTTGTTTGTGCAAATTTAATGTAATAAAATTATCCATTTTGCATTTCATAGTGTTCTCTATCTCTTGTTTAGTCATAAATTCTTCCCTTCTTCATAGATCTGACAGGTAAAGTATTCCTTGATCTCCTAATTTGCTTATGTTATCATCCTTTATATCTAAATAATGTACCCATTTTGACCTTATTTTGGTATACATTGTGAGATGTTGGTCTATGCCTAGTTTCTGATATACTCTTTTCCAATTTTCCCAGCAGTTTTTATCAAATAGTTAGTTCTTATCCCAGAAGGTGAAGTCTTTGGGTTTATCAAACACTAGATTACTCTGGTCATTTACTATTGTGTCTTGTGTACCTAACCTATTCCATTGATCCACCAATCTATTTCTTAGCCAGTATCAAATAGTTTTGATGATTGCTGCTTTATAATATAGTTTTAGATCTGGTACAGCTAGGCCACCTTCCTTTGCATTTTTTTTCATTAATTCCTTGATATTCTTGCCTTTTTTCTTCCAGATAAATTTTGTTACTATTTTTTCCTAGCTATATAAAATAATTTTTGGTAGTTTGGTTGGTATAGCACTGAATAAGTAAACTAATTTAGGTAGAATTGTCATTTTTATTACAATAGCTCGGCCTACCCATGTGCAATTGGTATTTTTCCAATTTGTTTAGATCTGACTTTATTTGTATAAAAAGTATTTTGTAATTATGTTCACATAGTTCCTAGGTTTGTCTTGGCAGGTAGACTCCCAAATATTTTATATTGTTTGTGGTTATTTTAAATGGAATTTCTCTTTCCATCTCTAGCTGCTGGGCTTGGTTGGTAATATGTAGAAATGCTGATGATCTATGGAGGTTTTTTTATATCTTACAACTTTGCTAAAGTTGTTAATTATTTCAAGTAGTTTTTAGTTGATTCTCTAGGATTTTCTAAGTATATCATGTGCAAAATGATAGTTTCATTTGCTCATTGCCTACTCTAATTCTTTCAATTTCTTTTTCTTCTCTTACTGATAAAGCTGACATTTCTAGTACAACATTAAATAATAGTGGTGATAATGGGCATCCTTGTTTCACCCCCAATCTTATTGGGAAAGCTCTAGCTTATCCCCATTACAG